GTGTGTGTGGTCTGTGTGTGTGTACCTTGTGCTAGTCTGAGTATTCTGAAGACCCTCAGGATGCTGGGGTTAATGAGAACAGTATCCATCACTTTCAACTCGTTGAAAATAACGCTGATGATGGACACTAAGATGATAGCGACGTCCAGCAGATTCCAGCTAAATGCACACACATGCAAAAGTCATGTGACATTCAGGCACTTACATTATCAGACATGCAAACACTAACCATGAAACAGACGTCTGTTCTGTCGCTCACTCTACCTGACTTTTAAGAATCTTAGCACACCAAATGCCACAAGCTTCAGCAGGACTTCAATGATGAGGGCAGCTGTAGCCACGTGGTAGGAATACTCCACAAGCTTCTGTACCCACTGAACACACACACACACACACACACACACACACACACACACAGGTTAAATAAAGACTTGATGCAAATGTTTTATTGTGGAAATTCTACGCTTGCCACTCCTGTAGGCAGTGATTTAATGTGTGTGTGTGGATGCGTGTGTGTGTTACCGGAGGTTGATTATAATGTTCCAAAGCCATCACCAAGACGCTGAGGACTATTATGAAAGTCATGAAGAGGTCCAAGAAGTTGCTGGTACACAGTGTGTGGATAGACCGACGGATGGGGGAGTAGTCTGCGTAATATGGGGTTTCTACTGAAACACACACACAAAAAGATGCGGATATTCAGATGTACACAGACAGCCTTTCTCTTTAGCTTTTTTACACTCTCACAAATAGACGTTCTCCTTACCCTTGCTCTGGTCTTTCCCTGCTTCTCCAGCCTCTTTTAGTAAGTGTTCGTCTCCTTTTTTTTGCTCCTGCTGACAGTGGTGGAAAGTCTCTACCATGACGCCGACAAACATGTCGAGGAGAACGAAGCTCAGGACCATGAATGGAATGAAAAACAGAAGCATCCATTCATTGTGGTTCATCACAGGCTGACGGGAGAAGAGACATCAGATGTTATTTTTGTCTTGTGCGTACAAATTAATTTCAATTCAATTGAATTTAACAGAAGATATCTCAGGACACTTTTCAAATAGAGCATGTCTTAGACTGAAACTCCTTATAGCATTAATTTTTACAGAGACCCAACAGTTCCCACCATGAGCAAGCACTTGGCAACGGGGCAAGGAAACTTCCTTTTAAGAGACAGAAACCATTAGGACAGACCCTTTCAGCTCTAGGTGGGTGGTTGTCTGCCTCGACCAATACACAAAGACATTTTTTACACTGCTGTCTTGTGAAGCATTTCTCTCTGCATACTGACATGTGCTTGCTGCTCCTTTTAATGTATCTGCATTTACTTCAGATTTGATGAAAATTCAGACTCGTGTAAAAACAGAAAAACATCAGTGTAAAAACAATATTAAGCATAAATACCTGTTTGTCTACTTCCAAAGCATCCAGTCCATCATACATGACGTTCATCCAGCCGTCCTTAGAGTACATTACAAACAAGGCCATCAGAGCCTGAATGGAGAATGGAAATATCTTGTAAACACACAGAGATTTTCCAGAGGGCTCTTTCACAAAACCTACATAATGGATCAAGCCAGGATTTTCCAGTTATCCAGGACACACTACAAGACTTTCAAAGTTGTCAGATCTCTTCATGCAACGCCACTATCTGTCTCATTAACAGGGGGTCACACACAGACCTTTCACAAGGAGTCTGACTGGTCTTAAAACTACGTTTCATCAGGAGTCATTAAGAACACCATTTATGACAAGCACATTAATTAGTAAAGTAGTTTAATAACAGGCACAAAGGGTAACCTTTTACAGCACACTGCCATGAGTTAAATAAGTTAAAGTGCATTATGTGTCGACAGTCTTCTTATCAATTTGGCATCAATATAATCCACAAAGATAAACTGTATTCTGTACAAACTTTACATTTTGTCGCTTTAGCACGTTCAGCGTCTGTTGCAGCTGCCCTCTCTCAGTGGGTAAAAGGTGTGGGCATGAGAGGCACACCATTTCAAGCTCTAAGATTTCTCCTTTTTTTTTTTGTCCATACCTGAGGCAGACTGTCAAAGTTGTACGTCTTCCGTTTCCAGAGATAGTTGGCCGTCAGACAGTCAGACTTGCTGGTGATGTTTCGTATGTCCTCACCCACGCAGTGGTAGAACTTCCCTTTGAACAGCTACAGTTTTTGTGCGAGACAAAGACAAAGATAGTTATTTTACCACTGTGCTGACACCTTCTCAACTACAGATATAGAAACGAAGATACAGCATTCTTTGCCCAGAATGGACAAACCAAACACGTTTTTCTCAACCACTATAGTTTCTCCTACACTCTTGGAACAGGAGGGGGAAGCGATGGGGTTTCATCTACAACTTCACCACTAGATGCCACTAAATCCCACACACTTGACCGTTAATTCTAAACTGATTTTAATTAAATTTATGACGAACCAAATTTCATGAAAATCGGTTCAAAATGAATACAGTTGGTGTTGCAGTGAAATCTGGAACTCTCAGCATTGTTAACTAGCAGATCTTGACCTTCCGCAATATGGCATACAACAGCGGCCAATGATCTGGCGTTTGTATATTCTATTGATCTCAACTGCAAACAAGCTAGTCGGCCATTACTTGTTAATCGGGAAGAATAAAGCTATGTGGTGTGTCTGTGTGTGTGTGTGTGTGTGTGTGTGCGTGTTACCTGCACCCCAAGGATGCCGAAGAAGAAGAAGAAGGCACAGCAAATGAGAACAATGTTCCCGATGGGTTTAACCGAGGCAATCAAAGCCTCCACAGCCAGCTTCAGTTTCGGGGCTCGCTTGATCACTCTGGAGCACACAAACATAAACAAACAGATGTTTGTTAGAAGCAGCACGTGTACCAACAGACAAAAAACTGTCATGAAACAAGGTAGAATGCTTACACACACTAACAGAGAAAAAGAAGTACCTCAGTGGGCGAAGTGTGCGGAGCAGGCGTAAGACTTTAAGAATTCCCAGCCTGTTGTTGCCTGTGCTCGCCAGAGTAACGAAGATGTCGACAAAAGACAGAAACACTAGCAAACCATCCAACATGTTCCAGGAAGACTGGCAGTAGCTCTCCTTCCCAAACAGCAGACCAAGAGCTAGGACCTGGTGTCAAAGCAACAATACAAGCTTCAAGAAAATGATTGATCCATATTTCAGTTAAAAATAATGCCATTTCCATAGACAAGCCTCTACGCTTAAAACTGCTGTTTACCTTGAAAATCATCTCCACCAGGAAGACAGCAGAGAATACGTAGTTGGATATATCCAGGATCCATCGCTCCTACAGGCCAGAGTGAGAGTGGTTTTTAATCTCTGTGTGTTTAGTACTGTCAATCTCATATCGTTTGTTTCATGAAGTACATGACATCCAGCTGTGTGAGTGTGTCTGTCTGTGCTTGCATGTGTCTGTCATGTGTGTCTCACCATGCTATGATGTTCAATCGCGGGCCTCTCCATAGCAATGGTGACACAGCTTAGGAGGATGAAGATCAGAATCACATTGTCGAACGTGGTGTGAATGATCAAACGTTGCAAACAGACACGGAACCTAAACCGAAAACACACACACACACACACACACTTCAATTAAAATATCAGCAGTCAGTTAAACATGAGAAGAAAGCTGAGGGAAGTAAAACATTGTGACATGAAAAATAATCCTGTGTCCCTGTATTCATTGTTGTAGTTATCTCTTGAAACATGACAAATGTGACAAAGAGGCGTTTTTTTATAACTAGTTTGTTAAAACTCATACACAAAACTCCCCATGCACTACCAACAACAGGTTGCTGGCTGGTTGAAGGACCATGCAGTGAATCAATTGCAATTTCTGGTTTCCTTGGTGACTAACTGCAGTGTAGGTCATAAAGCTAGGTAGTTCTTATCACACGTTTTTCACATCAGGATTGACAGCTTAGCCCTGCTCGTGATTGAGTCAGCCAGGCGTATTGGCGGGACTTAGATAGTATGGCACCAACCGCGATCACTACTGCGCAGACTCTGACTCTGAGGGAAGGGAGGGGCGTTATTTATTTATTTTTTGTTATTTTTGTACAATGGTAGGAAGTGGAGACATCCTTCTTTTATATGTCAGTGGGTTCACCACATAGAATACCTGTTTCACAATCATACTGGCCAAAGTATAAATGCATGATGGAAAAGCAGATGATATAGCCTACAATTATTATATCAGCACTATATAACAATAATTCTTTATGATACAAGTTAATAAATGAATGCAACCTGGACCTGGAAAACAGATTGTAGGTGGATTATACAAGTAAAAAATACTTAATTTAATTAAGTTTTTGCTAAAATTGACCCTTGCACATTATGAGCTAGCAGTAGTAAATCACAGAAAAAGCACTGTTGCTGCATATGGCAGGCAAGTGTGTGTTTGGATCTTAGTTGGCAATACATTTGTTTAAAGTCTTATTTATCACCCTTTAGGGTACAAGAGCCACCTTATCTGGCTACAAAAAATTCAAAAAGAAGAATACCCCTAGAGCCTGCGAGAGCAGGGGCGCAGGAAGACTCACAGACTGACCTCCCAGTAATGACCCTTGGAATAGACATGACAACGAATGAAGGAAGTGGCAATACTCTTGAGAAAGCAGCAGCTGGCCATGTTCTTCAGACTTGTGTGTGTGGATGGGTGAAAGTAACATCAATCCATGGTCTTAAGGTACATCAAGGACGGAAGAAATGCCTGAAAACCACCAATTCAGGGCCCCGCATTGACCGGATTCTGTCAAGTGGAAGGTTAAATCAGTCGGATGAAACTCAGCGGCAGGAAGAAACCCACAGTCCACAGAGAATCAGCACCCCAGGGAATGAGGAGGAAGCTTCAGGCAGAACCACCAGTCCAAGATTTTCAACCCACCACAAAAAAGAAAACATGCAAGGACGTAAGCCGTTGGTGAAATGGCCGAAGTCTAACAGCAAGGAGTGGGAAGCCATCAATATGGACTTAAGCCTTATCCTAAGAAAACATCAAAGGATCAGCCGAGAATAAGCTGGAGAAGATGGGCGACTTTATCTATAACTACGGAGAGGAGAAATGTGGAGTGAAAGATCAAGTCAGAAAGAAAGACATGCTTCCCATCCCCAAGTCCCGTCGGCTGCAAGAAATCCAACAACTTGTGAAAGAGAGGCGACGGCTAAGAAAGTTGTGGAGAAAGGTGACAGCAGAAGAAAGGGAAGGCATCAACCTCCTTCAAGAGGACCTGAAACACAGGCTCTCAAAACTCCGCCGAGCAGAAAGCCTACGGATGCGCCGGAAGAAGATTTCTATAAAGACCCTTTTAAATTTGTGAAAGGCATATTCACAAAGGAGGAGAGTGGATCCCTGAAAACATCAAAAGATCAGGTTGAAGAGCATCTGAGAGCCATCTATACTGACGAAAAAAACAATGAACCGATCGTTGTCCCCACTGACATCCCTCCAATATCACCCCCACAACATCAGTTTGATATCAGCCCTCTCAAGCTGAGCGAGGTGAAGCAGGCAGTGAAAAAGGCAAGATCGGCGTCTGCACCAGGCCCTAACGGCGTACCATATAGTGTCTACAAAAACTCTCCAGACGTTTTGAAAATCCTGTGGAAAAACATGAGAGTGGCGTGGGACAAGCAAGATAAACCTTCTGAACATTGAAGGCAAGATCTTTTTCAGTGTGTTGGCACAACGACTGACACAGTATTTAAAACAAAACAACTTCATTGACACATCAATCCAAAAGGCAGGCTTCTCGGGATGCCTTGAACATAACAGCATTATATGGCATCAAATCCAGACTGCAAAGAAAGAAGGAAAAGCTCTCCACATCTTGTTCCTCGATCTGGCCAATGCCTATGGTTCAGTCCCTCATTCATTTCTGTGGGCTGCCTTTGATTTCTTCCAGGTGCCGACTACAATCACAAATCTAGTGAAACACTACTTCCAGGATTGCCTCACAACATCAGGCTTCACCACAAGTTGGCAACCGCTGGAAGTAGGCATCATGGCGGGGTGCACCATCTCCCCATTGGCCTTCACGATGGCAATGGAGATCATTATCAGAGCCTCGAAATGGGTCGTGGGAGGAGAACGACGACAAGGTAATCAGAGGTTACCACCAATTCGAGCCTATATGGACGATCTAACAACACTCAAAACCTGTCCCTGCACCAAGAGACTGCTGGAGAAACTTCATCAAAATATAACATGGGCGAGATGAGTTAAAGCCCAGTAAGTGCAGAAGCATCTCATCGTGAGAAAGGCCAAGTCACAGACCAGAGATTTCATGTCGGCGGAATCACTGTCCCAAGTCTCAGAAATGCCAGTAAAGAGCTTGGGAAGCATGGTATGTGCGAAGCTCAAGACACCGAGCATTTTGAAACAACTAAAAAAATTATATCAGCAAGTACATGGAGCGCATCAGCAAGACCTTGTTGCCAGAAAACTGAAGTTGTGGTGCTTTCAGTCTGGCATACTCCCAAGACTCTGTGTGCCTTTAGCTGTGTATGAGATCCCCATCCCAAGGTTGAAAAGTTGGAACGGCTGATAAGCACACAGCTGAGGCAATGGCTTGGAATTCACGTTGTTTAAGTCCGTTGGACTTTACGGACATGGCAAGTTGGAATTACATCACCAGGGCTCGTGGAAGAGTTCAAATGCACCAAGCAAGGCTCGTCATGACCCTAACTGAATCCGAGGATGCAGTCACTCAAACAGCGGCCCCCGTGTGGTAGCGGAAGGAAGTGGATTCCATCAGAAGCTGTTCAGAGTGCAAAGTCTGCGCTTCACTTCAGATGTGTGGTTGGACAAGTACAGCATGGGAGGCAGGGTTCGGACTATTCCAAAAACTCTCTGTGGCACAAAGCAACATCAGTGCAGAAGAGACACGTTATGGGTAGAAGAAGTCCGGGACAGGAGAGTGAGAGCGATATGCCCAAAGCCGTCTCAAGATGGCCAAGCAAGGGAGATGGACTAACTGGGGGGCATGGAGAAGAAAAAGCTCAGCTGGCGTGACATCTGGGCAGATGGAGGGAGCGTGGGCTGGAGTTTTGTTATTAGAGCCACATAACGATCTGCTACCCTCCCCCCAAAATCTGAAAGCGTGGTATGGAGAAGATCCCACCCTGTTCCCTGTGTCATGTACCGGCATCCCTAAGGCACATTCTATCAGGGGTGCACTACAAGTCTCACTCAAGGGGCGCTATACTTGCGGCATAAACAAGTACTCAAGAGAGCTTGCATTAATACTGGAACAGAAGCGAACCACCACCAAAACCTCCCCACAAACATCAGCAGGACAGGGTCAACTCACAAATTTGTACCAGCTGGCAACATCAAGAGCATTGCCATGGTCCTGCTAGACTGCCATTGCTAATATCACTGATATTATCGTTATTATTATTAGTTGTGTTGACTATTGTTGTTGCTGGCCGGTTGCTGTGTCGTCGCTCTCTCTGTCCGCCTGTCTTGTGCTGTCGCCGTCGTCCGGTCTCTTTCATGATCGTCATCGATCATTGCTGTTAATGTAGTTGTTGCTTCTGTTGTTGCTGTACATCTGTTTGTCTCTCTGTCTCTTCTCTCTCGTCTCTCTCTGTCTCTCTCTCTCTCTCTCCTTTCTCCCCCAACTGGTCAGGCAGATGACCACCCACCTAGAGCCGAAGGGTCTGTCCGAGGTTTCTGCCCGTTAAAAGGCAGTTTTTCCTTCGCCCCCGTCGCCAAGGTGGCTTGCTCATGGTGGTACTGTTGGGTCTCTGTAAATGTTATAAGGAGTTCGGTCTAGACACTGCTCTATTTGAAAAGTGTCCTGAGATACTTCTGTTATGCTTGGCGCTATACAAAATATTGTTGAATTGAATTGAATTAGACAACACCTAAGGATACAAGCATCCTGCAATCAGCGCGGGATTGGAAATTGGAAGTGGACCTTGATAAGAAGCCTTGTGTTTCCCCCCAGAATAGTGGCTACGACACTCCGGCCAAACATGGTCCGTGGTCTGCAACAACAAAGCTGGCATATGTGTGGAATTAACAGTACCTGTGGGAAGATGGGTTGAAGAGGCCTGTTATGGGAGGAAAAAGAACAAATAATTCCGATTTGGCAGCTGAAGCATCCCAGAACGGCTGGACAGACAACATCTTCCCAGGTAGGAGGTGGATGCAGGGGATGTTGCCACATCTACCACCAGTCCTGCTGAGAAAAATAGGGATGAAGGGTCGCCTCTCCCCCAAACGGCCATCAAGTCCATGTAAAATGCTCGAAAAAGCAGTAACTGGCTCTGGATCAAGCAAAGGACCCCAACTGGCGGCAAGGTACGAGACAGTGTATGC